AAAAGAAAAGAAAAGAAAAGAAAAGAAAAGAAAAGAAAAGAAAAGAAAAGAAAAGAAAAGAATCCCTGAGCAGAACAATCTGTCATTACTCATGTTTGAGACACTATAATTTCACACAGAGCAACAGGTAACAATTAGTGCTACAGGAATTAGGGCAGTCCTATGAATAAATTGATATTTCTTGTCTCTCTGCAGTGCCCCACCCCTCCCACCTTTACAGAGATCCTGCTAAAGCTAGAGGATCAGAATGAATCCAAGAAGGTTATCATTGCATCACAGCCTATTCTCCAGGGCTCAGAGGTCTTGCATGAGATCATGTATGAATATAAACAAACCACTTCAAAGTCTTTTCAGTTGTCCCTCCCCCAAGTTATTTCCTTTTAATTACACAGCTTAGTGTATGTAGAAAAACAGTTGATTCTCAATGTAAATACATATCCAAACTTTGGTCCCATTTAAGATCATAGGACAGAAATTAGGCTTTAGGGTTTGCTACTGATGGGTCACAAGTTTTTCATTGACTCATGAAACTTTTGGGATTTTTTTACAGATGCAGGCTCAGGTGAGAGCTTGAGCAATTCTTTGTCAAGTTGTTACATGAATGTTTTGCGATACAGCTTATTCAGCCAGGGAAAAGGAGATGCTTCCTTTGGCATGATCACAGGATGACTGGCACAATGGACAAGCAAGGCTGTTGGCATTTATTAATTAGTAGGTAAAGATGAGACCTGAAATAATATCATTATACCTAACTAGAGGTCAGTGCAGATTAAAGTATAAACCAATATGCTTTAGAATCATTTAAATCAATTTAAATACTTGTAAATCCCCATTTAATGCAGGGAAATATTATATGCCTACATGGAGAGAGAGAGAGAGAGATTAAAGAATTAATTCAGAGCTACCAAAAATTCTAGTTGGAACAGAAGAAGGGTCAAGTCTCCCAGATCTTCAAAGTATTAGAAAAGAAATGAGATGGCATTGTGCTTGAGGCTAAGCCTGGTCTTTGGGATGCCATCAGACTGGTGGCTGGCTGTCTGGCTGCTCCAGAAAACAGCAGTCCTACATCTCCTTTGCATCAACACTGGTGCTTGTCTGGTCTCACCAGGAGCTGGTCCAGGCACAATGACTCAGTGTTCTCCTGTGCTGGCCTGCAGGAAGCAGTGGCTGGGTATGAGAAAGGGGACTACCCCATTCTGCAGCATGCAGCCATTACAGAGCTTAAATGGAGTTCAAGGAGTTACCCAAATTAAAGTGGCGGCTTTCCATCTCGCTGGTGCGCAGCAAAGAAGAACACAAAGATTTGTAAGAACTTTGAGTCTCCACTGAAGGCTGACTTCCTCTAATAATTCAGAAATATCCTTTCCCCATTGAGAGAGCTGAAGAAAATGGCAACATTTTGGACTCAAATAATTGTCATCTAATATATTTTTTAAATACATATCCCAAATTTATAGCTTCAGTTATTCTCTTCTGGGCAGTGGGATTCCAGAGCATTTCAGCCTGCAGTCACCCACACAGCAAGGGAGAGGGAGCATATAATAAGTTCTCAGCTAAAAGTCAGCCATCTTCTCCCTGATCAGGCTGACTTACAAGGTGAAGTTCAGCTGCACAAGAAAAGGATTCCTGCTCTTACAGTAATTAATCACTATATGCCTCCTATTAAATTCCATGTATCTCCAAACCTAAAAACTTTTCTCATCACCAAAAGGACACCAAACCAGAGCCCAAAACCTCCCTTGCCACAAGCTATACAATTGTTTCAGTTTTCTGATGCTTTCAGTGCTTCAAAGCTCTGATTCAGCTTCACCACTGCTCCTTGGTAGGGAGGTACTGCAGTGACTCCACATATTGAAGTACACCTTAGGCACTTTGAGGAAATTCTGGAGGGTGGAAAGGGAAAGTCATTGGAGAGTGATTTGACTGCTCACAAAGCAAAATGACTGAGATTATTAACACTAGAGAAGACTATGAAGAACTATGGGAAAGCCTAATAAATCAGACAGCGTGAGATTAGGTTTGTTGTAGATAAGAGGTGGTCTCAAAGGAACAATTTGAAATCACTCATAAACATTGATTTCTAATCTAGTTGAAATTTCTTAGAAAAGCTTAAGTATGACCTTCAGCAGTTTAAAAAAGATATGTAGAAATGCAAATGGGATACTAATCTGTACTGAAAAGAAGATGAAAAGATGGTAAAATATTGCAGGGATAATTGAAGTACGTTTTCCATTACTATATGATATCACCTTTACTCTGGAATTCACTTTCTGAAAAAAACCCACCTATTTTGTCCTGAAATTACAGACTTGAAGGAGATGAACTGAAAATAATTCCAAAAAGAGGGCAAGAGATGAGAAGAAAAGGCTTCCATAGAAGTTAAAAAGATCTAAGCTAAAATTAGACCAAACATTTGGTGATAGCAGAAGTATATGGGAGATCAGAAAAGGGATGAGATTCAATTAGCTTTTTTATCTTTCCAAATCATGTTTTATTTTCCATTGTGGGATCTGTGAGGAAAATTACAATTCTATGCAGTAGGAGAGTGATAGAAGAGCCTATAGTTCCAGACAGAACTATGCTTATTGTTTTACAAATTTTGTTACAAATATGTACCATGTTTGTGGTATAGAAATATGATGAACTACAGCTGCCACTACTTCAGAGCTCAGCTCTTCAGAAAGGAGGACATCCTCTAGAGATCATCAGATTATGTTGACCATTTGGCTGTTTTGTCCAAAAAAAGATTGTCTTTTGACTTTTACAGCAGTGTGATTTATATTTCTGCACTGTATTGGTTTTTGATGTTTGTTCCACATATTTTGTATCCATTTTTCAAGGGTGGACTTCCCTGCAGGGACTCGTACCAAAGTTTGCAGTAGCATGAACAGATGTAGTTTCTCAAGGACCTTGAGTTAATATATCTTGAAAAGTAGAGAGGAATGACATCCAAATCCAGTGATAGCGATCATCAAAGATTTTTTTTTTTCCTTGGATACCATTCATAGAAACCTCCCACATGTGGTCCACAAAACACAAATATTGCTGGTCTAAAGGGGGAAATCACTATGATAAAGAGTTACAAAAATGTTAAATAAAAAAAAGTGTTCAATTGAGCACAATTCTCATAATCCAAGCATTCTTATAACAGGAGAAAGACAAGGAAGTGAGACAGAACAAGAACTTAAACCAAATATTTAAATGCTAAATAAACTTTCTATTACAATACACTGCTGTGGCAAGTCCGAAGAAGGGCAAAAGAATTGATGAAGGGGGTACAACACAAGTATTTTGGGGAACAGCTGAGGGAGCTGGTGTTGTTTAGGCTGGAGAAAAGGAGGCTCAAGGGGGACCTTATTGCTCTCTACAGCTGCCTGAAAAGAAGGCTGTAGTGAGGTGGGGGTCAGTCTCTTTTCCCAGCTAACAAGCAATAAGGCAAAAGGAAATGGCCTCAAGTTGTGTCAGGTAAGATTTAGATTGGATATTATGAAAAAAATCTTCACCAAAAGGGTTGTCAAGGGTTGGAACAGGCTGTGCAGAGAAGTGGTGGAGTCACCATCCCTGGAGGTATTTAAAAGATGTGTAGGTGTGGCTCTCAGGGACATGGTTTAGTGGCAGACGTGGCAGTGCTGGTGTAATGGTTGGACTTTATGTTCTTAGGGGTCTTTTCCAACCTAAGCAGTTCTTTGGTTCTATGACTCCATGTAATTAGCCTGTTGAGCACTCTCCCACAGGATATTGTTGTACTGTGTAGTTTAGTGAATACAGATGTAGGTATTCCTTGTTTTTAATGTACCCGGGGCAAACGCCATTCTCTGGATTCTAACACGTCAATAACCAGCTTGAACTTGTGCTGTTAATCCTGCTGTGTCTGTCCCACCCAACACAGACACTGTGCAACTGTTTTCAGTGTATAAGTTCAGTGTCAGAGCCTTTTATATTAACTACTATCAAATACATGATTTTGGGCCAGGAAAAGTGCTGCCAGTGTGGCAATTTGCACATCCCAAGATCTACACAGTCCGAATAATTCCTTCACTTCTTCTCTCCCTATATCAGTTACTCAGGAGGACACCTATTTATTTCCCTTTCATAATAAAGCCAGACAAAAAGTATTCCCAAGCTGTTAAAATTTTGATCTTTCTTCTTAAAAAACTACATCCGTATGAAAGAAAGAGGTATTAGCTGAGTGGGGCTAACAGGTAGGAAAAGAACAAGAACTGTTTCTTTTTTTGTCTTTCACTTGAATATTTCTAATTTTAAACAGACCAGCCAGCTCTGCTTGTTATTTTTTAGCCATTAAGGCAGCTGGTTCAAGGTATGTCAGCATGATAGGTCTTGCCTCCATTTAGGCTGGAGGTATTGCCTTTGAAGGATTCTTTTAATAGAGAATGAAAATTTTAGCGTTTAGAAGTACATGTGCTCTTTAAACACTCTTTTTCTGACTTCTAATGGCTGCCTTGTTGGAAGGGAGGATTGTTAAGGGGTGTTCACCATTCTGATCTCCATCTCACAAAGCCAGAGGCCAACCCAACAGCTGCATGCGTGGAGAGTTTTAGTTCATACAGTGCTTCAATAAAACCAAACCAACCAATCAACCAGCAAGAAAACCAAACCCCACAGAGGAGCATGTGCACACACACACAGATCTACAGCAGCTCATTTCACAGAAGTAAAATACAGAGAAGGCAAGCTTAAGACTGATTAAAAATTTTAGGAGGTTCACCATTATTTGTGCTCTCAGCAAAGGTAATCACCAGCACTCAGCAAGTGCCTTTCTCCACACATCCCAAATCACCCTAGGGTACAATATCACACAATTCAAAATGTACATAAGTTCTGCACCTTCTCCAGCAGCACCTGAACTAGAAATGGCCAAAAGATAGTATTAGGCTGATGTAATAGTACTAGGCAAAAAACTAGACTGATGTTTCAGATCCTCCAATGTATTTTAAATGTAATCAGCAAAAGACACTTGAAAGACAAAAAAGCTAACTCACCATTCTGGAAACCAAGAGCTTTTCCCTAGATCCAAACTTGGTTTTTGTTCAAGACATCAGTACTGTTGAAGGAGCACTTATTCCTGCTGTGGCTTTGAAACACTCTGGCGTGCTCAGGGTTCAGGTGGTGCTGAGCACACCTGGTGAGCCTCCCTCTTTGGAGTGCTGAGCAATGCCTGCTGGAATGTGCAGTCTAGCAGGAACCTGGCACCGCTTGTTCAAACAGACAGGCGTGAACCACGGGACTACATTACCCATAATTGCCTTAAGCTGGTTTATGATTACACCTGAAACCAGGAGAGGTGGTGTGGAAGTTTCACCTCAGGGGGGAGAGAGATAAGCAGAGGAGAAGGAGGAAGCCTGGGCTCCTTGTGTGCCACTGGAACAGACTGAGGATTTTCTACTTTTACACACTATGTGGCAGATATACTGAATTGCTGGGAGGGGTTCAAAGAGTGGCCTTCTGATTAAGGTGAAGTTAGAAATAATTAGATTTACTGGCAGTGAATACAGTGACTGAAATTGCTTGAACCTGTATGACCGGTTTAGGCATCTCTGTGTAAGTCAGAGAATGGATATAAGGAAGCAAGTGAAGGAGGGGTGGCAGTAGCCTAGCATATCTGCAGAGGAGGGAATACAGAGACATTTGGCAGGGTGAGGAGGGAAATGTTCCTTTTTAGCCCCATGTCCTTTAGGAAATAGCAAATTTTTCCCATATGTTTTATTGCAGGGTTTTTTTTCAGTGATTGAAGGATTTCATAGAATAAAGTTCAGAAGGACAAAGGTTACAGGAACAGAGAGACAACAAAAAACGTGACAGGAATGTCACAGGGACTTGGAGTAGGGATGATTTGCCTATCCTTTTTTTTTTTTTGCTGCCTGTGTGTTTATGACACTTAGGGCTCACACCTGAAATCCCCCCTTTCATGGAAAGAGGTTTCACAGGCTTGCTAAACCTGAATCCAAAGAGTTGAAGTATAACTCAGACAGGATACAAAAAATTGGAGAAAGGCAGAATCCTGTCTGTTTACGAATAATGTTAATTGGTAGGCAATTTTCATCAAATAAGCAACCTGCCAAAATAAGTGGTTATGTTTGATCTGACAGCAAAGTGGGGTGAAACTCAGCAAATAGTTTCACCCTGAAAAAAATGAAGTTGAAATGACCAACTATTTCAACTAAATGTTCAATCCATTACAGCACCATTCAGAGAACTGAACACTTTCTCTCCCACCCGATCCAGAAAACAGTCTTTTCCACCTCACCATACATGACAAAGATGAAAAAGAGATTCCCCATCTCCAGATGATTTAAGCAACCAGATAGATTTTTGAGAGAGCATCCTGTCAGAGGCAGGATGTTAGAGCAATATAGCCTGGTTAGTCACTCTGTGCTAAAACTGCCAGTTACAGAAAAATTAGGTGATTCCTGCTACCACTGCTTCTCTAAAGGCATAGTTTGGAAAATCAAGATCTGGAAATAGAAAATGTAGGACAGATAAACCCTGTCAGACACCAGGAGGTGAAGGGAAAAATCTCCAGTGACATTTAATGGCTTACCCAGGGCTATTAAGAAAGCATTTAATTTTTGTTATATGTTTCATTTTCTGGTTTTTATGAGTTTTCTTGACGTACGTATTGTCTATCATGTGTGTCTAATACTAACGACAATTATAACCCAAACCAGTTGAAACTCACTGTCACACTAATATAATCTAAAAATAAATTAAGATCTTGGTGACCTAAACTCTAAATTTCAATACCTTTTCTGTTATCTTAGGCTACTCTTTAAAATCTGAATAAAGAATAATTTAAAAATTATTAGTGGCATTTTACCATAAACAGAAAGGCCTTAAGTTTAGGCTGATGATTTTAACATCCCTTTTTATAGGTATGAATCAAAACTCAATTAAAATAGTATCCCTCCCAGCTGTTTCTCAGGTAGAAAATGAGTTTAGAACCCATAAAGCTGCAGCTGGGACCCTGGTGAGTCACATAAAGCATCTACAGGATTTGAGTTGTTCTCTGGGCCTTATAAAACTATGGAATTATAACATTATTTGGGCTGGACATCTTGCACTAGATCAGGTTGCTCAAAGTCCCATCCAACCTGTCCTTCAACACTTCCAGGGATGGAGCATCCACAGTTTCTCTGGGCAACTTGTCCCAGTGCCTCACCATCCTCTCAGTATGGAATTTCTTCCTAGTATCTAATCTAAACTTATTCTCTTTCAATCTAAAGTCCTTTTATCTTATTCTATCCCTACATGCTCCTACAAAGTCCTTCTTCAGCTTTCTTGTAGCATCCCTTTAGGCACTGGAAAACTCCTAACTACAAAAAGGCCCAAGTATTAACATAGTCTGTCTGGGTTTTCCCTACAAGGGTGACCATCTATTAGTTCCCACATATTTATTAAAGTCTGCCACTTCTATCTTATTGCATAATAAAGTTTACCTTGAAGGCATCTAAACCAGGTATTTAAAAGACGGCACTGCATAGTCTGCTGTCACTCCAGAAACAGCTCTGACCTGGTCAGCTTTCATTTCCAAACTCCTCAGAAGCCCAGAGTGCAACAGCTTTTCTTTGAACATCTTTTGATGCTCTTTTTCTGCAGTTTTTTGATGCAGTTTTCTGCAGTTTGACTCATTTTCAGAGCAAAGTCTTCCAGAAAGAGATTTAGATTCTTGGGCCTTAGGAATGCTAAATAATATGTGGACAGTTACTAAGCACTTTCATGGGTTTAATTAACTGCCCTGGTTGTACATGCGTGCTGTACACACAGACAAAACCAATCACAGATGCTCAGATGCTGACAGGCTCACCTGGAAATTTTTAAATTTTTTTTTATTTTTAAGTTTTACCCACTTCTCAGATATATTTCTGTCACTGAAATCAGTGGAATTTAGGGAGAAATCTCTTGGAACAGAAGAGGGATGAATGAGGATAATTCCAAGAAGGGAAGTCTGGCAGCTGAAAGGACGTGTATATGGTAAACCCTGGATGAAATCCAGACACGGTGGGTCAGTTCAGCTGAGCCCAGAAAAATTGCAGCAAAAGCAGTAGAGATGGTCTCCAGTAGCTGCCAACTCCAGGGCAAAAGCAACACCACAGGAAACTTTGCACAAAAAGCCCCACTTTGGAGGTGGGTGAATGCCACCAAGCCACATCCTTTGGCTTTTGCAGTCTTACTGGTAGTGGTGGCAGGATCCTGGAAAGTTTGGGAGCATAAACAATCACATGCTGGCTTGAGGTAACATAACATGCATGGGAAGTGGCAGCCATGCCTTCACTTCTTGTCTGATTACAGCATGTGCTTTCCCCTCCACTGATTTTGTATTTAAATAACTGCATATTTTGATGGCTAAACCTAGCAGTGACTGGAGGGTCAAACGGCACACTTAGGTTCTGTGTGTAAACATATTTTATTTGCTTGCAGCAGATGGAATAGCTGGGACAGAAAGTAACATATACTCTTGGACCTGCATCTGTTTGCTGCAGTTCTTATCAGAAGAATGGGGAAAACCAAGGCCTCCTTGTACATTGTGTATCACTATAATCCCATTTGTTTCAGTTGTCCCTAAAGCTCATGAAAAAAACCCCACAAACTCCTTGCCCCTCAAGACATTAGAAGTGGGGCACCATTAACTGTAGGCTACATGACAGTTACCTCTATAATTATTTCCAACACAAATTAGCTGTGGTCACTACACTATGATTTATGATTGCAGCTGGGAGAGGAGAAAAAGGTTCAATGTCAGGACATTCTGGATATAAAAAATCCACTCAGACATGGTCAAATATATTATTCTTCCCCTGCCCCTTCCCACAAATCGTACAAAAACTTCCCTGGCAGAAACTATTCAGTTTAAAGATACTTACACATGAGGTAGCAGCTTGGACATTCCTCCCAATAAAATAACAATTAATAACCAAGAGAAGCATGGGGGTGAAAACTGGTTTTCTGACAGGTCTATGCTGGAAAATGCTTAATAATACAGTAATGCTGGCAGAAGCAGTTCTGGCTGCTTTTACTGATTCCAGGCCTCTGAGTATATCCCATACCAGTAAGAACACTCCTGCCAGTTCTGTATCACATTAGGGCTCTTGCCAGTATCAAACACTGCCAAAAATCACATTCTTGAGAGATATGATTTACACTAACACACATACCTAAAACAAAGCAGGCTTTACAAACTCTAATGACTACTCCACCCAGGCAGGCAAACCTACTTTTTCTGATAAATTGTGAACCAAAGGAATCAGAAAGATATTACCTGGTTTCTGAAGGGCAGGATACAGTTCTGGGCAATGTTAAACATCAAAAAAACAGCTCTCAAAGTGTGTTGTACCCCCAGCAGGCTGTCTCTTAGATTTTAGTCAAGGTGAAGATTTGGTATAAAACAGTGTGTTTTAATGTATTTTATGTGTTTTAATGTCTGTGACATCAGACTTTAATGAATACACAGAACTTGTGGCAGGAGTACCATAGCATGGGAAGCTACAGCCAAGGCACAAGTGTGTATTGAAACTGCTGAAGGCAGCAGCAGATCAAATGGAAGCAACGCTGTCCAGAAATGAAATTTGTAAGGAAGATGTTACATTAAACAGCAAATGCTATATCTGTACTTACTATATCTGCTTGCACTCTGAAAAAAAAAAAATAAAAAATAAAAGTAATCATTTCTTCACGGAAATCCGGACCAAGAACTGAAATGTGGGTTTGTTTTTTGTGGGGGGTTTGGGTTTTGTTTGTTGGTTTGGGGTTTTGGTTGTGGTTTTTTTGTTTGTTTGTTTGTTTTGGGGTTTTTTTTGTTTGATGGGGGTTTGTTTGGGTAGTTCATTTGTTTGTTTGTTTGTTTGTTTGAGGGAGAATTTTTTGTTAGATTTGGTTGTTTTGTTTTGTTTTAAAGAGCTCCCAGCTCTACAGAAAACAGAATTGTTCTGGTTTTCATATATCAACAACTCAAGGAAAATCATTATTTTCCTCTAGTATTTATCTTAATGAAGGAATGAGTATGCCATGTCTTAATGCTGATGGAACATGAAATTATATTAAAAGGAGAACATTTATTTTTATAATAAAAATTTTAAAGAGGCTCATTCAATCAATCATAAATTAGCTGGCAAACTGGACTGAAGAATATCTCAGCAGGAACATTCCTGAATGGTGAACATATGGTTGCCAAAAGGGACTTGGA